GGATTCATGCTTCATCCTTTAGGAATAAGCCCCTCCCCCAGCCAGAAGTGCCCCACTCTGTTTAACCTCCCAGCATCCCACTCATCGGCACCACTTGGCATGAGCCTCACTCATGGACCTGGCTCATGCTGCCAAGTGCATGTGTCTCTGTATCTTGCCTCCCAGCACTTTGGCATAGTCCAAGGGAGACCCCATCTCACCTTGTTGGTTATAGCACTAACAGAGGTTCCCATTTGTTCCTTTGTGTATAGGAAAGGATAGTCATAACAGGCGCTGGCATACTCATACAGATAGGAAACTGGGAATGATAGACATGGCCTCTGCCTTGTCTCACAGTGTGGTGGGGGCGGTGACAGTGGCCCTTCAACCACAGCAGAGGCCAGAAACAGAACCTTGACGGAGGAGAGGAAGAGACGGCGCCTGCAATGGACGTTCCTGCTGGGTAAGGCCACAGAGAAGCCTGCCTCAAACAAGTGGTGCTTCTGCTCGGGGCTGAAGGACACACCGGCCAGGGAGGAAGACTGTGAGGTCAGGCGCGTCGAGGTCAAGGCCGCAGCACAGTAAGATCCTGGGGCAGAGGCAGAGCAAGGACTGGGCTCTGGAGGAAGGCCAGCATGGCTGAAGTGCAGAGAGCAAGGCTGTAGAGCAGGAGGCAGGTAAGAACAGAGGCGTGGGGGGGGGGTTCCGTCCTGAACACCCTTCCCCATGCGAAAGGGGGCGATCCTCGCCCAAATGCACAAGGAAGCCTCTGACGCTGGCAGAAGTAGGAGCAATGACATCTGCAGAGATCACTGCATGTCATGAACTAACTGCGGGCCCTGCTGCAGGGGGACGCTGGCTGCGGCGCCCATGGTGTAGGCTAAGCGTGGTGGTGACTGGATCACGCAGAGATAACGGAGGGGAGTTTACAGGTTCACAAGCCACTTGGAGTTCCTGGGGAGGGATTACTGAGTGGGGGTGAGTGAGAGAGAATCAGGGAGCCTGCTGGGTTGGAGCTCTACTAAGTGAAGTTGGCTCATTCATTGAGAAAGGCGTGCCTGCCAAAGGATGACATCATGTACCGTGCGAATAACTTTCCTTGGTGATCCTCAGGCACAGGTTGTCTGTTACCGCTGATGCAGAGGAAGGAGGTAGAGATGAGAGGAGGCGCGAAGCCCAAGGCTGCCTCCCCAGGGCACAATCTGCCGCTGGCCTGCCTGAAGCCTGTGCTCTTGACTGGCCCCTTCCCTGTGTTCTCAGGGCTGGACCACCCATCTGCAAAGGGGCGAACGGACAAGAGTGACCCAGGGCGCACAGCCCGGTGGCTCAGTGTGGTGTTGCCTCTCACCTGAATGGGGTGTGATTTTTGTCAGTGCTCAGATGTGGTTCCAGGCAGCCAGGACCCCAGAAGCTAGTCTCCCATTGTAGAAGGCAATTCTGCTCATGGGAAGCCCATCTGGGCAGGAAGCCAATGGCTTCCCCCAGGCCCAGGCTCCCCTTGCCAGTTGGAGGGGCTGGCTTGCTCTCTTTTGCACAACCTTTCTTTCACTCATTGTTTTTAAATACTGGCTGCTTAATTTTCTGTACTGGGATCTGAAAACAAAGACAAAATTAGGGAAGTGGAAATGGCTCATTATTTCGCTGTCGATCTGCGATTTAATAGGGCAGCAATTCTGCATTCTTTGAAGGGGGGCATGTTATCTTTTGGTAGCCCCGGTCTCCAGGGAATACTTGGCTCCCCCTGCCAGCCAGGCATGCTTCAAGCCTGTTGAATGTGGCCCGGTGATGCCTGGGACTCACTGTGGCTTCCGTCAGTGGGAGCTGTAGCTTGGCAGTAGGTCTGGGCACACGTGGGCAGGTGTGTCCCATTCTACCACCCTACGGAAAACTCTAAAAGACTGAGGTTGGAAGGCAAACTGCAGGGAAGCCCTCACAGCCACCTTTCTGCATGAACTAGGATGGGGGTGTCTTTCTCTCCACCTGGTTACCCACAGCCCTGGCTGGAACCCAGGGAGCAGGCGGCGCTGAGTTCTCCACTGTGGGGAGGTGGGGAGTCTGAACCCCACTGTGTAAAGGCCATTTTGCCCCTCTTTTCCTCCTGCTGCACCTGACTGGACCTACTGCCTTCAGCCTCACCTATGGAGGGTGACTGCATGCCGCTTCTGTCTGTGGGTGGAGGACAGACAGTTCTTATGAGCCCTTTCCCTTGCTTGCTGGGCTAAGCAAATGTTCTGTCACTGAACGACTTCCCTGGTCCCTAATTTCACTTTACTTGATCATCCGTGGCTGCTGGACACTATACCACGTGACACATAGCCTGCGGAAATGCTTCCAGAGCAGGCTGCGACAGGTGCCGCTAGTAAGCGCCGGGCACTGGCTGAGTGCTCATTGCATACTGCTGGTTTTTTACACGAATCTCAGTTAACCCTCAGAGTGGTGAACAGTGAGCTTACTGTAGACATGAGAACATCTGAGGCTAGCACCGGCATGGGCAGCCCACCCAAGGGCTCACCCGGCTTGTCCCAGCACTATGACCCAGTGACTCTGCAGGGTTCCAAGGACATCAAGTTGGTGGCTGAGTGCTGGGTGGTGTAGGAGGGAACATAGGTGACTCCAAGTAATACCAAGAGCTCCCAGCATGCAATAGCAGAGAAAGACCCAGTCCTGGTATGGGGCACTTTGGACTGAATATTGGTGTTACCTAAACCTATATTCTGATGCCTTCACCCAATGGGGTACTTGGAGGTGAGGTCTTTGGAAAGTAACTAGAGCTAGAGGCAGGTGCAGGGTTGGGCCCATGTGGTGGGGCTGGGAACTTTGTCCCCTGTCTTGTGGGAATGCTCCAGGAAGCACCCATCCGTTGCCCTGTCAGGCCTCCAGCACTATAGGAAGAAGCTTCGGTAGCTTCATCTAGGCTCCATGATGTTTCCGTTACAGTAAACTGAGCTGACCTAGACAGGGCCTGACACTGCACTATCCTCTCCCTCTAGGGACAGTGACCATTAGGCTACAGGAAGGCTTGCAGGGTCCCAGTGGAGGCTGCTGGGCCAAGAGCGAACTAAGCAGAACCAGACGTGTCGGGACGTGTGAGTGTCCCAGCTACACCTTCATCCCGGTTGAGCCAGGTCTCTGACCAGCTACTTAGAGCCTCAAGCCATATCCCAGGCCCCTGCTGGAGCAGAAGTAGCCTTCAGTTGATGTGGGTGGCCTGTGGCACCAGGGGGTGGGTGGGGAGGGCTTGCTTGCTCTCTGAGCTCTCAAAGGTGACCCTGTGTAGAGGTTCAGAAGCCGAGCAGTCTGCAGCACCTGAGAGCCTCTGTTGCTCCCCTTCACAGGAATCTCTCTCTCTCTCTCACAAACACACACACACACACTGCCGCCTCCACACTTTGTGGCTGGGATCACTGCACCTGGCACACATAATCGCTCTATCAACAGTGGCCGATGGTATTTCGAGAGTGTGGTCTCATCCAACAGCCTTGGGAGGGCAGAGCACTCTGCATTACAGTGTGAAGTGTGATGAAAGCAGCAGGACCTCCTGGCCTCTCTGAGGCCTACACCAGGGGTGGTGGCCGAAGGTCTGGGAGATGAGCTGCCGGTCCCTGGAGAGGCTAACTGTCCTTAGCCTGCACACATCCCAAAGCCAAGGCTGGCACTTAAATAACTGCCTCTCCCTCCAAAAGACCTGGAGAGCTGGGAGCGCCTTTAGGGAATAATGAGCAGCTCTGAGGGGACCCTCCCTTGCGTGCTTGACCACAAACGCTGCAAAGTCAGAGCCTTCCCAGGAGCCAGTATGGAACCCCTGTGCTTCCTGGGGACCTGAGAGGGGACCTTAGAGCAGATTCCATTTTGTTTAGAAAACCAGAGAAGTGACTCTGGATGGTGGCCAATCCGTGCCCCCACACGAGTGTGTCACGGCGTCCCTCCTGAGTGTGCCAGCTCCCACCACTCCTGCAGAGCCTCCTGATCAGGCTGGTGACGCATGCTTGGGGAAGCCAAGTTGGTGACATTTCCCTCTCCGAGGAGGGATGTGTCTCTTGCTCAGTTGGCAGCCTGCAGAAAAGGCCAAACAACAGATCCGTCCTTCCCTCAGTGGAAACCCCCACCTGTAGAGACAGAAGCCTCTGTAACCCCCCAGGAAAAGGTGCCATTGTTGAATCACACACCTCTGGTAGGCTGGGAACCAACCTCAGCCCCAACAAATCCACCTCTGCCTCCCAGTGTTTATCCTGGCCTGCCCTGCCATTGCTTGTTGCTGTGTCTCTCAGGAAAGCAAAGTGTGTGTTTGGATGTTAAGATCTTAAACAACTCAGTGGAAGGAAAAACACTGGGCTCTGGGCTCTGGCTATTTATGTCTGGAAAGGAACAGCAGGAGGACTCCAGAGTCATTGCTAACCAGTTTTCCCTTGCCACAGACCTCAGACAAGGTCTCAGGTCTCTCCATATCCTCTGAGGAGAAAGCTTCCCACCTTCCGGGGGTCCTGGAATCCTTATATGAGAAAGTGGTACCACGCCGCTGCTTAAGCTGCTGCTCATATTTTCTCACCGTGGCCCCTGACCTGTCAGGCACACGTGGGAGTTTCCGGCCTGCGAGGGTGTACTTTCTTTGGGAGCGGACCACATTTTCCGCCCACGTCTGCAGGTAGCCGCAGTCTGCTGTAGGAAGGCAGTGTCTGCCGCTGCTGCTTGCCTGGATCCTCCCCAGGTATTAGGCGTTTGGGTGATTTCCAGTTCTTTGCTGATGAACACACTGGCACTGCAGAGATCTACTAGCTGATTTTGATGTGGTCCTCACAGAAGGGAATTATGGGATACCCAATCAGTAACATGAAGAGCCATAGATGAGGCAACTAGATGGCAAAGGCATCCAAGGATATGCTCTGGGAAGCCTTGTCCTTAGCTCAAAGCAGGAACTATCCTCTTAGAAGACGCCAGAGTATCCCTTGGGGATCACTGCCCTGGTCCTACAGCTCAGGAGAAGCAGCCAGAATACTGACACATATGTGTCCTCTCTCTTGTAGAAAGTCTGCACCAAATGCGGAATCGAGGCCTCCCCTGGCCAGAAGCGGCCCCTGTGGCTGTGTAAGATCTGCAGTGAGCAAAGAGAGGTAGGGTCCTGGAGTGGGTTGGGCTTGGGTGGGCCAGGGTGGGTGGACCAGGATGAAGGCAGGGGTGCTGGATAGGTGCTTCTCCAGAGGGCAGGTGCTGTGGAGGACTTCCCAGGACGTCCAGGGAAGAAGGGCAGGAAAGAAAACCTTATGGCCTGCCCATCCCCTCCTTCCTGTAGAAGTGAGAGGAAACCCTGGTTTTGCGCTTCGGGGTCCTTGGATTCCATGGGTAGCCTCCCTGGGCATGTGTACATGTGGCGTTGGGGGGCAGGGCTGCGACTGGAGCAATAGTAATTGCCCGAGTTAAATGTCTTCTGAGCATGTGCCACCACAATCAACTAGTTAAATCTGTCATTCTATCCCCGTCACACCCGCCTGATGGGTGAAACGGCCACCCCTTGCCTGGTGGAAAAGCACTCAAGGCCAGAGAACCTGCGTTTACTGAGCTGGTGGTGAGCGGGGTGGGCTGGCGATTGAGCACAGCCATGATGCCGCCACCCAGCCTTTTCTGGTGCCAGTGTTCTGTGGTCCAACGTGACCCCTTTTGGGGGGAAATAAATCATTCTTGGGTGTTGAAAAGGCCCTGAGATGGTAGCAGATAGGTGAACAGAGCCTGGAATTGCTTCTCCTTACCCCAAGCCTGACTTTTCCTCTCTGCCCAAAATGGGAATGGAAGCAGGGCAGGCCGAGGCAGGCACCTCCTGGGGAATGGCCAACAGGGGCAGCAGGGCAGGGGGACCCTTAGCTTTCTGAGCATGGTCTTACTCTTTAGCAATCTTGCTTGGCACTTTATGTGTGCTTTTCCGCTGAGGATCCATACAATGCTTTCAGTTCAGACCTCCCGTCCATCATTGTGCTGTCGCCCAGTCCTGCCTCCGTCTGTCCATCCTCTGCACACCTAGATTCTTCGGCAGTGCCTTTCACTGGGTCCTGGGATCCTTAGGGCAGAGCCAGGCATCCTGGGTGAGCGGGGGGCATGGGAGAGCACCCAGCCCCGCCGTGTGCATGGATGCCCACTCTCCTCCAAGCATGCTCTCTCTCACAGCCTTGGGGCTGGGTCCTGCTGTTCGCACTCTCTCTCCCAAGTGAGAAACCCTCTCTCCAGCCTCACTTTTAGCGACGGGGCTGTGGCCCCCCTCACCCACTGTGGGATGCTTTAAGTTCTCACATATAGGAAAACCAGTCTCCAGCTGCCTCCACCTACTGCTGGGCACAGAGCTCTATAGGCAGCACATTTGGACGCTCAAAATAGTAAGTAGCTGGGCGCAGTGGCGCACACCTGTAATCCTGCACTCAGGAGGAGGCAGGAGGAGCACAGTCGGAGGCTAGCCTAGACTGCCTAGCAAGATCCTATATGTGTGTGTGTGTGTGTGTATACCTCTTTTTAAAAGAGTAAGTAGCTTGATCCTCCGATCCTGAGTTATATACCTTGGTTTTGAGCACAGACAAGCTTACATGTTACTTTTAAAATATGTCCACCTGCTGTTGCTGTGTGTCTGGAAGGCAGGGCCTTGAAGTGTCAGCTGGCTTTTAGACCTGCCTGGAGGGCCCTTGTCCCCAAATGGTGGTGATGATGGCCCTTCAGGCTTGGGGGGGTGGGAAGCAAGCTTATGACTGCCCCTCACTCCATAACTGTTAGAGCTTCCCCTTCCTCGCGTTCCCCTCTGTGAGCTGAGTCTCTCTAGTCTTCAAGGGACATCTTTTAAAGATACAGGTAAGTAGCTGGGCAGTGGTGGCTCACACTTTTAATCCCAGCACTCTAGAGGCAGAGGCAGGCTGATCTCTCTCAGTTGGAGGCAGCCTGGTCTAAAGAGTGAGTTCTAGGACAGCCAGAGCAAAGTGAAACCCTTTCTCAGAGAGTGGGGAAGGGAGGGAGGGGAAGAGAGAGCATGTGCTCAGATAAGCAGGGAGGGAATCTCTCTAAATGGTGCCTGGTGAAGAGCTTCCTCGGGGTGAAGTGATGATCGCAGGTAACTGGGATACTGGAGGTCAAGTTGCAACAAGGGAAAAGGTGGATGGAAAGAGAAGATTCCATCCGCTAGAACAGCGTCACCAGTTACCCGCACACGCCTCAATAGTTCCTGAGCTCTCGGACGGAGAGAGGGCCTCTGCCAGCCCCTCCTAATCTCCAGAGTGCCCCATTTCCAGAAAAGTCTGAAATAGCTTCAGATGAATTTTCTTATCTTTCCTAAGGCAAAGAATACAAGGCTGTGCATTGCCCTTGAATCTTTAGGAGCTGATAAAGCTTAGCAAGATCAAAAAGGTCCCCCTCTGTGGCTCCAGGCAGCACAGCATGGATGCTTGCTCCTTGCAGACAGGGTCGTGAACAGCACATGGTTCATCATCTGTGGGTACCATGCCCTCAGCCTGGAGTCTGCAGTCTGCCATGGGCGGGGAGGAGGACAGGGCAACGGGTTTCCCAATGCCTTTTTTCTCTTCAAGAAATATCTAATCATAACAAAGAGATAGCAGCGAGAAAAGACATTTAAAGTGTCAGGTTTTAAGCACTGAGCGTAGTTGATGTGGAGATTGTGATGGGAATTTGGAGCTGTGTCCTGCGCTGGAGAGCAGGTCGTGACAGAAGAACTTGGATTGCTGATGGGCGCTCTTGTGCCGCTCGCCCCAGCACTCTTATCTCCCTCTCCTCCTGGCTAGCTCCCATCAGCCCTGGCTGTAATTGCCTGTCATTGCTCTCGAGTGGGTCGGATGCGGGCTGGATGTTCCAGGGTGGGCAGCTTGGTGTTGCTGTCTGCCTAAGGCCTGTGAGCGGCAACGTGAATCTCAGGCCGTCGTGTTTAGAGTTTACAACCTAATGCATCTATCCACTCGGGCATTTGGTGCATATTTATTAAGCATCTTCTGTATGCCAGGTAAGACAGTTCTTGCAGAGAGAGAGAGAAAGAGAGAGAGAGAGAGACCACAAAGGAAGGTGCACAGATGGTAATAATGTGATCCAAGGAAATGGGGAAAGAGGTGGGGGCTGTGGCCCCGCTTTTACAGGAGTCAGGGAGGGGATCACTGATAAAATATTGGAGCACAGATCTGAGGTACACTGTGTGGGTATGGAGGGAAAGCGCTGCAGAGGGTCAGGGAGATGAGTGTGCGCAAAGGCCCTGAGGTGGGTGTGTGCTGAGCCGGGAGACCAAGGAGACAGAAGCAGGGTCAAGGTTGAGGAGAGGAGGTCAGAGGTGCAGAGGGAGGTCAAACCAGGGCAGTTTCATATGCTGTTGTAGAGACTTTGGCTGCTCTAGTCAGGAAAATTATGGGTCCTGGAGGACCTTGGTTATATCAGTGACATGTTCTGACCTTCTCCTTTAAGGGACATTCTGGCCATTGTGTTATATGAATCGTCAGCTACAGAAGCACGGTGTTTTGTTCTCTGTTTTTAATATTACTCAGGATACTCAAGTTACCTCTTAGTAGCTTTACAAGTTTTCATATGTGTATACACAAACCACAACTCTCTCTCTCTCTCTCTCTCTCTCTCTCTCTCTCTCTCACACACACACACACACACACACACACACACACACAGGAACTTAGAGAGAGAGATGGGGCCATGCACTAGCTATGGTGGCAGCATAAACCTTTGATCGCAGCACTTGAGAAATGGAGGCAGGGGGATCAGAATTCAAGGCCAGACTAGGTTTAATGAATCCAGTCTCAAAAAACAAAAAATAAAGTACACTTTACTGTTTTTAATAGCAAGTAATTGGATAATTGAGGAATGCTGACAATACATAGTAGCGTATAAAGAAGTACATACAAAATCTTACCCCGACTCTGTAGAAACAACCACTATTAACATTTTGGCATGTTACTTCCAGCCTCTTTGCTGTTTGTTTGTTTGTTTGTTTGTTTGTTTGTTTGTTTGTTTTCCCCTCTAGTCTATTGAAGCTGTGTTTTAAGTTAATTTTCTATTCTAAGTTATTGCACGATATAATCAGAAACTGTGGAGCTTCCCGATGGTGTGCTATCAGACAGCCCTCGATTGAGGGCATGTGAGCTTGGTTTTGTCTTGTCTTTTAGTTTGGGTTTTTTTGAGACAGTATCTCACGTAGCCTCATCTTGAAACTTCCTATGTGGCTGGGATCAAGGATGACCTGGAACCCCAGCTCTGCCTCCCCCATTTGAATAGTTTCCATTTTTTCTCTAGCTAGTAACGACGTATCTCTGTCTGCATGCCTTGCGGGCTGGGATGACACTCCCGCCTGGTGCATCAAAGCCAACAAGCTCAGCCATCCCAGGCCCTGCCTGCAGTGTGGATCACAGCTCACATTGTAGACGATCACAGTTCACAGTGGCTTCCTAGGCTGAGAGATGGCTAGGGGGCAAGGGGGGTCTACACAGCTGGGGCATGGCTGTCTAGACGAGACGACTGGTAGGGAGAAGATAGAAGCCATGCTGAATATGCAGGAAAAAGTACAGGCAGAGCAGAAAGGGAGCTAAATGAAAAGCATTGTTAATGATCTATAAAGTTCAACTGAACCCTAGTCATTCCCAGTCAGTGAACCTGGTGGTTTCCAGAGGTGGCCACAGGGGTTGCCTTGTTACTGTATATAAAATTTTTTTTAAATTTCCAAGCCCAATCTCCTGTTTGAAGAGTCACTTGAGATTGTCCTGCCTCAGTCTTGGAAGCACAGGGTGACATGTGTAACTGACTGGCTGTGTACCCCAGCCATCCTTCCCGGGTCTCCAGTCCCACTGCGCCCGACAGGCAGACACACTCTGACACATGTGCAAGATTTAAAGAAGCAAAGAAAGAGCACACACTGGGCCCCAGTGTACTTACCGGCACATTGACACACTCAGGAAGGGAGGCAGAGGCACGCTGTCCAAGGACGTGACACAGAGCAGCAAGCTGAGGAGAACTGGCCTGTGCCATGCCGGGAACGGGATGAGACAGCGGAGGGCCTCAGCAGGCCATGCTTTCACTCTGTGTTAGTGACCAGTTAAAGCTTTACTGTATTTGGCAATTAACATTTTTATCTGGCAGGACT